CTTTGGTTTCTTTCATGGGCTGGTTTTGACGAAGAATATGGAAGAAATCAGAAGACTCGAAAGAGATTTTTCAAAGATCATTTACATAATTCTCTAAGTATGCAATAAGAAAGTTGTTCATAAAATAAAATGAGAGACAATATGGTCATCGATCTCATGTCAACAGAGTCTTGTATGACCTGTAACGAAAATGAGAGACGTTGCTGAGGTGTCGTCTGCCATGGTCTGTGGGTGAAGAAATGGATCCAAATTTCCACCCTATATACTTCAACACCCTTTTTACATTCTGTTTCACAAGACAAACCGTATATTTGAACGAGTAGAGTTTATCTAGCAACTTTTTTTATATAGTGAACTTTCAGGACGGAAACCGATGAAACTAGAAAAATCTGCAACGAACGTACGGAAGTCAAACAATGCGAGTTTTATCTGGACAAACTTTAATAATAGCACTTGTTGTTTTCATTTCTTGTTTATTCAATTCAATATATTCTTTTGTTGTTTTACTTTCTTCGTCTATTGCTTTTATTTTTATTAAATATAAATCATTATCTTTAATTACTGATAAAATTTGAAATGTTGCACCTAAGTCAAGTAAATTTTCTTGTTCATCCGGAATATGACTCTACTCAGTAATATTTTCAAGAATAACCCTTTCAACTGAAGCAGTATTATATTCAATTTCAAATCAAACACGATATCTATTCTCATTTGTTACACCAGTGAACGTTAAAGCTACTGATTTTGATAATGTTGTTGAAAAACAAACATTCATTGATATTAAATTGCCTTCATTAGTTTTCAACTTATGTATTTCATTATTTGATAAACGTACACCATGATAAAGCATAAGTTTAGTACCATAATCTTTGATAAAGTCATATTGATCGGAAAGATTTTTTGATTAAGATCCAATAAAATATCTATATGCATTTAATTGAATCTTCTATTCGAAATGTTTTATCAAAACTTTCAATAACCCTGGAAAAGCTTCAGCTAAAAATCCAAGTCAAGGAAAATGTGGGTGTTGAAATAACAATTGCTTGTACTAACATGAATACCCTTTGGGAAAACAAAATCGATGTTTCATTTTCATCAAATAATCTCCATTGATTTGGGCTTCTAATATCATTTGATTAATGGTATCTGGCTTTTGTCTTGTAAATATTGCAAGTAACTGCCAAACACATAGATGCTTTTAAGTGAATATTTTTCAATGGATTAATAGATTCAGTTCCATCCGACGATAAAAC